TTATATCGGCACATATTAAGACATCAGAAGGGCATTGCTGTAAATCAGAAGCTATGAAGTGCTTGTAAAAATGGCCTTACCTTCCTCTAGAGTCCCAGAAGCACCTGGGCTCCCACGTGTCTCCTCTGAGGGCATCACCGGCTCCTGTGTCAGGAGTAAATCAAGACCCACGTCGTCCTGCTCCAGTCGAGGCTGCTTCGCTGCTGGTGGTGCTTCCTCTTCTTCTTCTTCCACTCCTCGCTGAAGAAAAGCCTCGTGAGGAGGTTCTCCATCCGCCTCTGTGTCCTGTCCTGCACCACCATCACTGCTTTGACCTGCAGCTGACATGCCGTCTTCAGGGGCCTGGGGAACATGCACGATTCATATCCTTTCAGTCACGGGGTTCACATACAGATTACATACAGCGGCAGTGAGAGTTAAACTTATATATGAGCTTGCACATTCAGATATCTGACTATAATACACATGAAAATACATTTTGTAGTACTTTGTAATATTGTAGTAAACCGGATTTATTTCATATAAGTCCCTGCTTGACACATGTCAAGTCAAGTCATCTTCATTTATATAGGGCTTTTAACAATGGAGATTGTTTCAAAGCAGCTTTACAGAGATAAACATACAATTTACGGTAACAGAGATTGTTTTGGCTTTATAGCGATTTTTGAATAATGTTATTTCCGGCTAAAGTTGCTTTTGATTGATTCACTTCCAGCAAAATTGTCATTTGTTATTACATTAGGGGCCACTAAGACGACGGCGTTCTCTCTAAACAGACTTTAAACGCGAACCTGTGACCTGATGGCGTTCACATGCGTATTAAAAATTGATTCTATAGTTATATTCGTTTGAATATGTGCGCGCAGGTTTGTAATTTCCCTACAAACCATGCCTAAACTAGGGATGCATCGATCCGATACTCAGTATCGGTATCGGCTCCGATACTGCCATTTTTGCCGGATCGGGTATCGGTCAGAGGAGGCCGATCCAAATCCGATATTGTGCGTATTATTCTGTGTTATTGTTAAGCCCCACAAAAGGCACAAAAACATTATCAAGTACCATAAAGTTTTCGTGCACTATCTTATAAGTGTTCTGAAGCCATTATATAGTATAATGTGAGATAAAAATTAATATTTAAGTCATTAAATTCAAGACCTCGTAAACTTTTTCCCTCCGCTGCGGCTGTCAGTCATTCTCCATTCAGCATTTAACAGCGCGTCGCGTTCTGTTACGACAGGCAACACGATGAAACTCTCCAAGATCAAGATGATTCAATGTTACTATTATTATTCTTGATCTGTAGATAAAGGTCTATGGTTTAGCATAAAACAACTTTATATTGCTGGACTTTATTGCTGTAACTAAATCATGTTACTTTCTACCGGGCGTCTGTTAGATCGCAACAGAGTAGCCTATGGTCAGAGAGCACTATAATTGTTCTTCACGCGCACAGTAACTGAAATTTAAAACTGTTAAAAGAAAAGGCTCAATAAACGATTGCATAGATACTGTGTATAATACACTACGCATCGATATGTCTTTCCTTTGTGCTTTGAACTGTTCAATGCGGATTCGACGCGCTGCGCGCTGTGACTCCGTGTTGCTTCAAGCGCATCATTCTGCGCTCGGGATGCGCATAAGCGCTGTGTGCCGCACTGTATTGGATCCTTTCATAATCATATAATACTACTTTTGCGCAATGAAAGATTATTAATAGCCTTTCTTGTTCTGTCCTATCTATCATATGTTGCTGCCTCATTAAACAGCTGTGCTATACATTTAAAACATGTCTCAATTTATAGTAGCCTAGCCATAGGCTAGGCCCTATATATAATAATTTATCTTTTTGATTTTTGTTATCTTGTTTTTCATGAATGTATTTTACAACAATACAAAGAGCAATGTGTAATGTTTGACCAGATTTAGTGTTACACTTATTGTCTCTTATTTGTTCCCCTAAATTTTCTTCACTAAATGTTCAGATTTTATACAATTATTGTGCACTCATGATTTTTCTAGACTAAATTGCACTGCTGAATTATCCACTAATCTAGTTTATTATAGCATTTTTGTCACAGATTATGATCATATATTTTTTGGATTTGTTGTTTTTCTTTAAAATTAAGTTGTCTGTGTTAAGTAGATTGTGTTTAACACACAAAAGAGTGATTATCAGTTCAACACACAGAGTTATAGAAATTCTACTTGATTTAAAAAAAAACTGCACTGGTATCGGATTGGTATCGGTATCGGCCGATACTCAGAATTTTGGGATCGGATCGGATCGGTTTTGAAAAAGCGGTATCGTTGCATCCCTAGCCTAAACAAACTACTTGTCTTGCCTATAAATTTGATACAGAATTTTATGCCTATAAATTTGTCTTGCCTATAAATTTGATCACATGACATTTTATTCTATGAAACTCATTTATGAAACCCATAAATAATATAGTTTCTGCTATATGCATATCAAAGTTTCCAGAGAAACTAGCCTGAAAAGACCACCCTAGGATTCCTTAACTTTTACTAATTTATTTACATGCATAAACTATAATGTAAAGTGATGCCACACAAGGACTTCTGGTAATCTCCAGTTACGGTTTATAATTTTTATATTTAAAAAGAACTCTGTACTGATGAACCATATATAATAAACAGCAAATGTAATATGTTATTGTAAAGATACACGTACGTATTGACTCTCTCTCTCAATATACATTATACATAATATATTTTGCCTCCAAGAAACATAACTGCTCAATTACATGTACTGTTCTGATATTTCTAATATACATACTTTATTATATATATATATATATATATATATATATGGTGCAGCTGTAAGTTAAAGGGTTTTTACGGTTACATTCTTAAAATTATGAACATCTTTCAGTGTATAACAGCATTTTGACTCGTGCAGCCAAAGAGAGTCACTCTACCTGTTGTTTCTTTAATTCGTGTCAGACGTATCTTGTGCTCCGACAATCGTCCTCAGTGTACTTGTGTTACTGAGTTCAGATGACAGTTTCAGAGCATCTCTACTATAAACACACAGCGTTAAACCTAGTAAACAGGAACTCACGCGTCGTGTTTGTAATCACAGGGCGCCGCCATGCTTGCACTGTGTGTATGCGCTACCAGGTCACCTGACTCTCGCGAGATTTGCGTCACTTCACAGTAGCAGGTTTTCAATATATATATATAAAATATATATATATATAAATAAATATAAATATAAAAGGTTTTCAATATAAATCTTTTTAACGTATACATTAAAGCATAATTTTATTACTTTAAAATTCCTGCATTTAATACTTTGCAGAAAACCACAAACGGCTTGTCTTACGTTGTTTGTGTGTTGCTATTACAAGTGTTTATCGCACATTTCTATTTTAATATCTTTTTTTTAATCAGTATTTTAGTTAATTTTGTAAATTGACAAAATAAAGTTCTCCACAATTTCAAGGACATCATGTTACATTGTTTACATGGTACAATGATCGGCTACCCTTTTTATAAGCTCTTAAAGATTTCACTATGTCAATTCATAAGCATGCAATTTGATTCCTGTCTTGATTTAATATCTATTCATCCGGATAAACATCAGGCACGACTACATGTAAATTTTTCCAAGGGTGCATCCGAAATCACATACTTCCCTACTATATAGTAGGTGAAAAGATAACATTCAAACTACACACATTTATAGTATATAGAACGTATTTCTTAGCAGTCGTGAAATTATTACTTATTCAAAATAAGTACCTACTCAAGAGAGTATGTGATTTCAGACACAGCCAATCTGTTGAATACTTAATTTCTCGTGAAATGAAGGACGCATCTGAATTGAGACAGCCTTTGTCGCTCCGCTGTGATGCAATCGGCCTTCGAAGGATGCCGCCTCTGAATTGGGACGCAGTAATGGAGAGAAATGACACCCGACACCCTTTTTTTGTGTGTCAAATGCTAAATAGTGAGAAAACCAAAGTCCACACAAGCGCTTCATTCTTAAGTATTTATTAATTTTCTTCAAACAAACCAGAAACCCCAAAAACTATTCACATGATGAATATTCAAACATTGTCAAAATGGTTTCTAATGACCTTTTTTTAAATGGTTGCATCTCTGGAAATTTCAAGACATCCAACTCAGACGTGTGTGACAGCAAGCAAGAGCCTTTTCAGATCTCGTGATGCATTGCTGATTTCGACTCCGCCATCGCCGCTGTTATTCGGTTGAGCACTTTAATGAACACGCGGCTCTGTGACAGCGCCAATACAGTACAGTTGCTTTTCACACACTGAATCAATAGATATGACAAACATGTATTTTTTTTTAATCATCATTAACATTTTAAAACCTATTTTTGCATGCCAGTAAAGACATTAGGCATCTCTAGTTTATTCCGACCTGCAAAGTTACACAATTAATCATCTTAAGAGGGCAATACCGTACAAATCACAAATCTTTGTTAGTATTTCTGAACACAGACCTCTCTTCCGAGATCAAAGATGAAAAGGCATTTTTATGTTCGACACAATTCTGACCTGGAAACAGTTTTTGCCTCTCATATTGAAAATGCGAAGCAAAAACTGTTTCGACGTCAGAAAAACGTGCCCAGTTACACTAAAAAGTCCAATTACACATCTTTTGCGGGGATCATTTGTAATGTTATATAAATCATTTCACAGGTTCATAAACAATGTTTCATGGGTTCCTTAAATAAAATCACACGCTATTATGTCACAGAGCTAGTCTCACTTTTTTTGTTTTACGCATCTTAAGTGTGCCTTAATAGGCAGAACTGAACTGTTAAGGCATGTCATAAAAGAGAGGAAGAAAAAAAAAGAAAATTCAAACAAATCTGAAAACCCAACAGAGAATGGGAAAGGGTTAAGGTTATATACAGTATTTACATGGCAGCCAGATTGAAGTGTAGTGGGACTGTTAAGCCATGTCAGCGAGTGTGTGTAATTGAGAATTCATTTTTGAATGTGTGAGTGTATTTCAGTTATTAATCATGTGTGTGTCGTGTTTGTAAAGTTCACTCTGGCTGCACTCGAGCAGAACTATTCTGTGCAGGTTCGAGATCTCATAGTTCAGCTGTTCCAGCATTCACAGTTCACTCCCTCCTCCTAGCGAGGAAACAGGTTCCTCTTAGTAGTCCGAATATGGTGCCATGAGTCCATCAGTCCTCCTGGGTTCTTCGTCATTGACATGCAGTCATGATTACATGTGCTGTTGGGAATCTCCATCCTTGGGATCTTCCTCTGAAGGCGGAGGACAGGAGATGGAGACGAAGACGAAGCAGTGGAGAGCCTCTATCTCCATCTGAAGATCTGGAACAGCAAAGATCTAATCAAAGCAGAGAAGAAAAAAAAAAGGAAGAATTTTTTTTTTTGAGAAAAAAAAGAGTAGATCTAATAAGCAAGGGTTAATGCCCGACGAGGTGTCCATTGTTAGGTATTAATGGACGACGGTTGCCTCTGCCAAAGTCCATTAATACCTAGACAATGGACACCTCGAAGGGCATTAACCTGCTTACACCATGGACTAAATGTTTTTTTATTTTTTTTGTCGGTCCGAAATGTGAACGCACCTTTTAAAATATATTATACCATGGTCTGGGTAAATACTCGATTCTGATTGGCTGCAGGGTGTCCAATAAAAAGTGATAGAGGACACCTAGTAAAGGAGTTCTAAATAAACCGTCAGGCGTAACCAGGGAAACCAAGTTATTGTTTGTAAAAACTTTAGATTTCGATTGTAAAACTAATTAAAATATAAACTAATGTTTTAAAAATGTGTTATTTGGCAAGTGACCATGGTATAAGCGGGTTAATACCCTTCGAGGTTTCCATTGTCTAGGTATTAATGGACTTTGGCGGAGGCAACCGTCAAAGCTTCGTCAAAGCAACCGTCAAAGCTTCTTACAGACCGAAGCGCCCGCGCCCTCAGATCACTTGGACGTGGCTGTGTTTACAAGAGGTAAAAACGATATAAATACTGTTCGTTTTCTCACACAAACCGCTCGTTTGGTGTCTTAGGCCATCAATGTGTACTTACATTTACGAGTCATTAAATCATGTTTAATTTGGACTTCTCTGTGCATGCTCTTTGAGGTGGTGACCATAGACCTGCATTATATGACTGACAGACAAGAACGGTTTGACCTAAACATATCAAAATTGAAACTACTGCGGACACAAAGACACATCTTGGATGCCCTCGAGGTAAGCTAAAACATACCAAAAATTAATTTCAAAGTGAACTATCCCTTTAAAACGTGCGTTCACATTTCGGACCGACAAAAAAAAAAAAAAAAAAAAAAAACATTTAGTCCTGGTCCGCTTAGGGTTCACATTGGCATTTTAACACCGAACCTGAAGGCATAGGGATACGTTCACAACCTGATTGGTCGGCTTTTATTACGCATATTTTGTGACTTACCGAACATCCAAAACAATGCTGTGTTCTGGGATAAACGCGCTCGTTGTGTGTGCGTAGCCTAAATATGATGGTATTTTGACCAGCTGAGAACTTGTGGAGAGTTTATATAATGTGTAAAGGAGTCAAAACAGCGGCAGGAATCCCTCCGTCACACACACACACACACAAGCGAAGACGCGGTTCTGATGCCTGTACCGAACTGTGATGGGCAACATCGCGACTATGATGAGGAAAAACAGGTGTGCTTGAGCATTCTGTCCTTTGAGGGTCGCATCTTGTGACATCATGTCCTGTTATTGGTTCGTTTGTGTCTTTGTAACATTATCACTACCGTTCAAAAGTTTGGGGTCAGTAAGAGGTTTTTTTGTGGAAAGAAATTAATAATTTTATTCAGCAAGGATGTATTACATTGATCAAAAGTGACAAAGCTTTTGCAACATAATAAATGCCTATACTATTTCAGATAAATACTGTTCTTTTGAACTTTCTATTCATCAAAGAATCCTGAAAAGAAATTGTACACAACTGCTTTCAACATTGATAATAATTATAAATTTTTCTTGAGCAGCAAATCAGCATATTAGAGTGACTTCTGAAGGATCATGTGACACTGAAGACTGGAGTAATGATGCTGAAAATTCAGCTTTGAATCAAAGGAATAAATTACATTTTAAAATATATTCAAATAGAAAACAGTTATTTTAAATTGTAAAAATATTTCACAATATTACTGTACTTCCAGTATTTTGGATCAAACAAATGAAGCCTTGGTGAGCAGATTAGACTTCTTTTAAAAATCTTACCGTTCTAATAATTTTGGGCCCTCACTGTATGTATATACAGTATAATACAATCGAAAAAGCTGTGGACCTTGCATTTAAAAAAGGTTGAGAACCAATGTTTTAGCATTTTTTGTTTTGCTAGGAGGATGCTCTGGGCATTGTAAAGCCATCACTAGTTGAACACACCTTTAACCCAAAGTACAGTAGCAGTAATAACTTTTGTAAGGAATAGGGGAAGGTAAAAATGTAATAAATCAATGAATAAACAAATAAATAGTATTCTTACCAAACTAATGGTCTTGCGGCGCCGTAACCACTTCAAGCCAAAGGTGAACTTCAGCCATGCAGTCAGCAGGAGGCGGTAGAGCTGATGGAGCTTATTAGTTATTGATCTCCAATACACAAACAAAAAAACAAAACAAAAACTGTCCTCCAGTCTTTAAAAAAAGCCTTTTTCAGTCATCAATGAAATATTTAATTCCAGTCCACAAAAAAAAAAAAAAAAAAAGAAAAACCGTTGGCTAGCACCCTGGACCAAGCAGTTTAATCCTTTTTACTTAACGGAGAACACTGTCGAGTAAATATGTTCTGAATCTCCACATTGTAACCAAGTTTGGAGGCTGTTCATATAGTCTTAAATATCAACATTGTTCAGTGGAAATCCTGTCCCAATGTGTCTGAAACTTCCCTTATCCTTCTACGGTAAAGCTTGTCTGGTGTCGTTCTCAAAAAGCCCGAGAAACAACCACCGTAAGGAGAACGAGTCTCACGCCCGTCTGCTGACAGAAAGAGGACATCTTGCCTTCTCTGCCTGTGCTCTCCAAGCCCAAGTGAAAGCTCCTCACAGTTTTGAGCAAATGAAAAGTGCATAGGGAGGGTATCAGGGCAGTGCTTGTCCCTTTGTCATCTTGATGAAGACGATGGCCATGACACCCCGTCCACCCTCGGATGAGAGAGGGGAAGAGAAATACAAAAACTAGAAGCACGTTCACACTGTCCAAGGAATTATCTGGCAGATCTGAGGTCATACATATGTTCTTGTTCTCAATCAACATCCATCACGGATATGTCCATCCAGAAATAATCCACAAGATGATTGGGGGAAATGTTAAAGCATTCAATATATGCATCTCAAAGTACCAAGAGGTCATCTGTGCTGTGTGATTTTTGCCTTCTTTCCAGGTCCATGAAGCATTTCTGATCATTTCATTACAAAGAGAGATTAGTAAACAAAAGAAGTCCAGTAAACAAAATATGGTCGCCTTTATGATTCTAAAAAAACACAAAAAAAAAACACACCCTGTCCGTAAAGATTAAAGGTACATGAAGAAATCTTTGATGTATTTCCATAACTTGTGTTCCAGCAATCCAAGTTTGTTTCAGTCAGCGAGTTATATAGGCTGCGTTCATATCCACATGCAAAAAGGAAGGGTCTGACGTCATGCCATTGAAGTCCCCTTCCGACAAAACGATTCTCAACCGCAGAATCGCATATTCAATCACCACAAAAATGAAGAGGAAAAAAAAAAAAAGCACCCACAAATGTCTGTGCGGTTTGTAAACAACCAAAACTCCAGTATGGAATAGAATATAGTTTAAGTTCTCATTTTCATAGTCAGAGTCTGTATGAACAGGATTGTAGAGGCAGTGTGTTTTTGCGGTTAGCCATCGTGAGCGCGTGCGTTTCCATCGAGAACTCTCGACGGACAAAAACGACTTTCGATTTCGCTCCTCTTGACGTCCTGCTGATTACGCTTTAATATCCTGTGTTGAGCAACTCCATCTACACCGTTACATATTTGGAATACATTCAACTTGTTTGTTTTGTTTTTTTTAAGAAGGAAAGAAAAAAGTACACAAATGCACTTCACATGGTGGCAACTAAAAAAAAAAAAAATCCAAGGAAAATTTTCAAAATGAACAAAAAAGTAGCAGCCCCAAATGCTCTTCCTTGTAGTCCAATACTTTGTTTATATTCATAGATTCATATATAATCATATATAACATTAAAACAAAAAAATAAATCACCATCATTGTCATTGACAACAACAATGAACAAGTAACAAAATATTCAAACATTTTGTGTGCACTGCTGAGTGCACTTGCACAGTTTGTTGCGATCATTTTTTTTTTGTTTGTTTGTTTTCTTGTTTTTTTTTTTTTTAGCCAGAAATAGTCAAAACCTCAGTCACTCGTGAACAAGAGAGTGGACAGAAAGGCAATGTTAGGTCACATCCTCCAAATATCAAACATTTCTTTCATCCAAGCATCCCCAGGCTACAACAGAACTGTACAGAGATAGGCTCTTGGTTCAAAAAGCATGGGAGGCATGTGGGGGCGGAGCCTTGTGAAGCCACGCCCCTTTGCTAAAAAAATAATGTCTCAATGGCAGCAATGAAGTCTAATCATTCGCCCTTTAGTTCTTAGGCACACATGTGGGGACAGAAAACACACACACACACACACAATGTACGTACCACAAGTAACCATTTCCTAAAAGTATACAAGATTGAATTGAGCTCAACAACAACAACACACAAACGAAACGATGATGACAAAACTAATGACGTGTTCTTAAACCTCACAGAGGCAAAAATGAGGCAGGAAAGGACGTCCCTCGCGCTCCCTGCCACGAAAACTAAGAGTGCTGGTTGGCGTAAAATGGGCTAAAGCTTTTGTGTTTGAATCTAGAGGTCTTTCTTTGTTGGGGAATGAAGAGCTGGTGAAAGAGGATGTGTTGTGCCGTTGCCCCCCTCTCTCTGTCTTGCTTTCATTCGCTCATTTATTCGCTCACATACTGCACATTTACAAGAGGAGTAATACACACAGTTCCTCCTGCATACAAGCGATCGCATTCACACATTCATTCGGTTCATAAAATACAAAAAAAAATTCACTCCGAATGACGAAATGGCCTCTTTTGATCATATGTCTAAATAAAGCGATTAAAAAAAACACATTGTGCAGACTGGTATGTTTTAAACGCGCGCGCACAAACACTCATTCCGTCTCAAACAAACATGCGTGCATAGACATACACACACACACAGGCACACAATCACAAAAATATTCTTCTCTATTATATCTAACACATTTTTTTTTATCTTTTTAACTTGCATTTTATGTGAGTGCAAATCTTCAAGTTTTATAATCAAAGTTTTTTTTTTATAATAGCTTTACATTTTTTAATAGAAACTTTATATATATGTATATAAAAAATGAAACAACAGTGTTTGTCTTTAAAGAGAGGATTTTTTTTTTCTGATAATGTCTGAACTGAAACACACAATGGTCCCCCAATCGCCACCGTTTCCTCCCAGCACAAACTCCAGTTCTGATTCAACACACACGCGCACACACACACACACACACAGTATATGTATGTGGTAATATTTCTGAAGCCATACCACATAAATATACAATCTTCTCGAAAAAAAAAAAAAAAAAAACTATTCAAATTACATCTTAATAAAGTGCATTAGTCTGAGTGTAAGGTGCTTAATGCTGTAAGTGCCAGAACTTTATCACCCCCCGTCCCCCAAACACACATACAGACACACAAAAATAAATTCACACCTGTTCCCTTCCCTGTTGAATTACATTCTTCTATTCCCAGCGCAGTCCCACCCCCCCGCCCACCCCTGAACTGATACCTTACTCCTGGCTTATCCCCAATCCCCTCCCCCTCAAAGCAGTGCACATTCGACTTGCGGAGTCTGATTAGGTGGACCCGCGGGTTTAAAGGCCTCGTGTAGCTATTGCTGTGGATTCAGTAATCCTCGACCATCTCCATCTCGTTTAGACCATACCGATCAGGGCCACCATGGAATGAGTACCCTAAAGAGAGACAAAGACATTTCAAACACAGTAGATCAGTATACAGTAGCCGACCCTGTAGAGGTTCTCTTAAAGGGATAGTTCACCCAAAAATGAAAATTATGAAAATGAAAATGTATTGAAAATCCATTGAAAATGTATGTACGGTATACTGTCCTTGTCCAGAAAGGAAATAAAGACATCATCAAAGTAGTCCATGTGACATCGGTGGGTTAGTTCGAATGTTTTGAAGCATCGAAAATACATTTTGGTCCAAAAATAACAAAAACTAGGACTTTATTCAGCATTGTATTGTCTTCCGGTTCTGTTGTGGATCCGCATTCAGTGACGCCGCTGACGTAAGACGCTGCTGACGTGTGTCTGGTGCGCCCGAGCTTCGTTTACAGTCTGAGGGAGACGCACGCTGGAAACAAAACAATCTTCGCAAACATGTCTAAGGATTTCCACACAGAGGAAGACTTGCATTTTTTTGGCCAGCCATATTTACTTGAACCCGAATACACGGACGCACCAGACACACGTCAGCAGCGTCTTACGTCAGCGGCGGCACTGAACGCGGATCCACAACAGAACCGGAAGACAATACAATGCTGAATAAAGTCGTAGTTTTTGTTATTTTTGGACCAAAATGTATTTTCGATGCTTCAAAACATTCGAACTAACCCACTGATGTCACATGGACTACTTTGATGATGTCTTTATTTCCTTTCTGGACAAGGACAGTATACCGTACATACATTTCCAATGGAGGGACAGAAAGCTCTCGGACTAAATCTAAAATATCTTAAACTGTGTCCCGAAGATGAACGGAGGTCTTACGGGCTTGGGACGACATGAGGGCGAGTCATTAATGACATCATTTTCATTTTTGGGTGAACTATCCCTTTAAGGGGTTTTCGCACCAGTCAATTTTCATATGCGTTTTTTTAGGGCCGGGACTCGATTAAAAAAATTAATCTAATTAATTAGAGGCTTTGTAATTAATTAATCGAAATTAATCGCATTTTAATCGCATAAATATTTGACCTGAGAACTGTGAGAAGTACTTTTTTTCACATGGATTTTTAGTATACCATTGAATAATGACTGCATACATAAGCTTAAGCAACAAAATATTGTTTATTTTTGTTCAACCAAGTCCAGCAGACCAGTGCAATTTTTGCCATTAAGTGTAGCAATAGCATATTGCAACAAAATAGCATATTGCTACACTACACTAATAGCAATAGCGAATTCCTTGTTGCATAGCTTGCACACAACCATGCTCTTATCGACGCTTCCATCCGTTCGTTTTTTGTAACAACATTTCCCAGCCACCGGCCAACCAAAGCGATCTCGTCAGCTTCTTCGTCATGAACGCTAGTTGGTGCGCCAGTATAATCGGTCCGCCGAAACTCATCCAGTGAGAAACGTTCCGCGGTGCAAAAATAAGTGCCATTAAAAATTTTTTTTTGTGTAATTAACGCGTTAAAGTGTGTAATTAATTCATCTTAATTAACGCGTTAAAGTCCCGGCCCTAGTTTTTATTTCTTTTTTCGTATAAGTCGTCCTAAAAATTCGTCACGCACAGAAACCTTGCACACGGTGTCCGATGTGCATTAATTCATCCATCGCGGGGAGAGAAAAAAACAACCGCAAAACAATACAAAATGGACTCTTCAAGAAGTAAGGATGATTTTGTTGTCCTCTCTCTTCTTAAAAAGAGAAAAAGAAAGAGGAAATATTGGGTCCATCCAATCCTGAGATTGCGTAGAGAGGAATAAGGAGAGTTACACCTCCTTACAAACGAACTGCAGGATTATACCGAGCGATTCAAAGTTTACTTCAGGATGTCAGTGGCTCAAGTTTGATGCTTTGCTAGTGATACTTGAGCCACATATTAAAAAGAAGCCCACCAATTTCCGTGAACCAATTGATCCTGAACGGTTCTGGATTTTTGCGTTCGCTTGTACGGTTGCTCTGAATTGTCAAAATTTTATGATGGACGAAAGTTTCGGAGGCAGTGTGAAAATGTGATTGACAAAACTTATTTATTTGTAACGTGTGAAAAATTCAGACTCAGTGTGCAAGGACCTAAACTACGTGAGAGGATAATAGATGAGTCGTACGTTTCACAATGACATGTTGCAAAGGCAATACTCGTTATTTTACATCACAACCAACAAGTAAGTTACGCAAATGATTGTGTTTTGACGCCACTACTGGGAAATAACCTGATTTATTAATAAAGTTTTGTAAACATGTTTTACTTGCATTTTTGGGTTATTGATTTGCATGTAAAGCCGGAGGTTATTTCAATAAGCTGATTTTTGTGAGTCATCAGCACACTGGTGTGCATGTAAACATGCTCAATGTAAAAATAAAAAATCCTACTGACCATATTTGAACACTAGTGTAGGATAGTGTTCAAAAGAACCAGTTCACTATAAAGAACCAGTTCATAGGAGTCACATGTAGCACAACCAGTGTAGTTCAACTGATTCCTGAACAAATGACTCCTATGAACTGGTTCTTTTTAGTGAATCAAACGCATACAGCTGATATCTTACTGTGTCATGTTGTTCAATTGGCATTATTTGACAATGGAATTGCATTTCTTTATGGAACTGTTAAGGATATGTATTTTTTTTATTATTATTCAGGAGCACTGATTCTGAGGAACTAACCCATACAAAAACAATAATAAAAAAAATACATATCCTTAACAGTTCCATAAAGAAATGCAATTCCATTGTCAAATAATGCCAATTGAACAACATGACACAGTAAGATATCAGCTGTATGCGTTTGATTCACTAAAAAGAACCAGTTCATAAGAGTCATTTGTTCAGGAATCAGTTGAACTACACTGGTTGTGCTACATGTGGTTTTGATTCACTAAAAAGAACCAGTTCATAGGAGTCATTTGTTCAGGAATCAGTTGAACTACACTGGTTGTGCTACATGTGGTTTTGATTCACTAAAAAGAACCAGTTCATAGGAGTCATTTGTTCAGGAATCAGTTGAACTACACTGGTTGTGCTACATGTGGTTTTGATTCACTAAAAAGAACCAGTTCATAGGAGTCATTTGTTCGGGAATCAGAGAGAGAAATAAATAAGTACGGGTACCTAAGATGCTTGGGTCAGAGTGCAGCATCATGGGCTGTTTCTTCTTCAGCTTTGCTGCCTGATCATAGACCGCACCACCCTTCCCAGAATGCACTGCCTGGAACATAGACTGCAGAGTGCTGGGGTTCATTCCTCGTACAGTATCCTATTCGACAAAAAGTGCAAGGGCAAGAATGAGAAGCAAACATAGGAATTAAAAATCTGATAAATGACAAACGTGACTTGGTTTAGCCCATCATGGACATATAAATCATTGTCGTCCTCATACCTGCAGTGGGAAGTTGTTCATGCTAAGTCCAGCCATCTCTTTGGAGAGCTATAAGAGAAGACCAAGAATTTAATTTCAAGTAGGCAAACACCACACACACAAAGACAGACTTTACATCTTCCTGTCACACACACCTGCTGCTGCTGTCTCTGGTGGTTAGCTTTCTGTTTGGCACGGCGCTCCAGGAACTGTCTGGCGAACTCTTTGGCTTCGACAGTGTCGCCCAGATAGGAGCAGATAAAGTTCAACACCTCATACGGAGACTCCACCTCCTTCAGGTACGCCACAATGGTGGGCACTATGAACACAAACGCACACTCGGTTTCCTGCTTATGAACTCTCTGGGCTGCTAGGCTAATAATGTGTGTTCACTGTAAACATGTCTTTTGTTTGTTTTCACACACTGAGGGATGAGTCTAAATTATTTTTCAGAATAATCGGCAGCCTCTGCTGCAGATGTTGTCAAAAGAGGATTTGCATTTCAGATTATATATAAAGCAATCCAAATGAGAGAAAGGCTGTTGTGTGCAAATCCTGAAAGAGAGACGTCTTACCATCCTGGGAAGAGGAGGAGTTATTGGCGGAGGTGTTGAGCGCATGCAGCATCTGTTCACACCAGGTGGTGAAGCCGTCCTGAGACTTCATCCCCTGCAGGAGTTTCAACAGCCGATCCTCCTCCTCAGTGCGTTTACGGCTCCTCATCATGTACTGCTCGCTGTACAAACACATACTAACGGTTTACCCAGAACACACGCTATGGATTGTACAAGCATAGCACGAACAATGCCAAAGTCGTGGGTTTCATTACCAGATTGCTTTGGTTTTCCGAAATTTACATTTATGCAGAGTTCCATGATTTTCTAAGCCGTTTTTAAATTACCAATTTAAATGTTAACCCTTAAAGACCTATACGGCCGCCGGCGGCAAAGAATAACTGTTGTTTTTAAATGTTTAAGAACTTTTGAACCGCTACGTATGCTTTAAAAAGTCTCATAAACATTGGACATTGACATTCAGAAGCTCCGTAGTGAATGTGATTGCGTCATCAAGTTTTGATCAGCATTGATTCGTCAAAGAAACCCATTCGGTTTGTTCCTCTGAGCCAATCATGAATGATTGTTGATGCTTAGTCCCACCCCATGCCCAGATTGGTTGAAACGATCATCTACTCAACCAATAAACATAGTTTTTGGTCTTTTGCACAACCAATTAGCATCTTTCTTTGGAAATTTGAATTGAGGCACGGAGAAAGTAAAGTGAAGTGAAAGTAGTAAAGTGAAAGTAGTTCATGTATGTTATGTATATGTGTGTGTGTGTTATATATATATATATATATATATATATATATATATATATATATATATATATATATATATATATAAAGTTTATTTTACTTCAGTGTTCTATTACAATCATTCTATTTATTTTACTTCCTGAATTTTTTTGGACACATCTAAATTGTCAGTAAATAAAAAATATCAGCTTTTCACTGAAAATCGTCTATAATAATGTTGTAATAAATGGCTATAACTTGCTTGGGGATTGTTACATGTGGTCAAAATTACATCTGGAAATGTAGAATATCCAAGCTTTCTAAAGAAAAAAAAAAAACTTCAGGAGGATTTGTTTGAGTTGAGTAAAAAAAAAAAAAAAAAAAAAAAAAAAAAAAAAAATCACTGAAAATATGCTGCCGTTTTCTTAAATCTGGTAAATTCATCCATTCTAAGACAAAATAAATCTATAGTTGGATTAATTAAATGAGATAGATTGAAACTTCAAGTTCTCCTGTTTAAAATGATATATGGCACTTGATGCTGACTGCTATAATGGGTTAGAAAAACAAAGAAAAGAACAGGCGGTGAAGGTGCTCCAAAAATGGTCTAGGTCTTTAAGGGTTAGTAACAAACACAAACGCTCCCAAATCGAACATTGCTATGACTATCATTTTAAAGCACCCATATTATGCTTTTTTGAATATTGCCTTTCCTGCAGTGTGTAATATAGCGCTTTGTGAATGTAAAAGGTCTGCAAAGTTTTAAAGATCAAAGTGCACGACAAATAAAGTGAATGTCTCCTAAAAGAAAGAATGGATTCTGAACTGTCGAAACGAGTCGTTAGTAATTGCAGTCTCTCTTCCTGTTAAATCCCAGGTTTTTAATACATTTGCATAATGCCAGTCTACTGTCTTTATTGGCCGCCCGCAAATAAGGTCTACTTTAGTTTTAGTTGTAGCTGAGGATTGCAAAAGTTTGCTTCGTGTTGTCGAGAAGACGCTGTTTTCTGCAAAAGCAAATCTACTTGCTGCACTTCGAATGGATGAGGACTCGCGCTGAAATTGATACGGTAAAATCTGCAGTATCATTAATGTTCGTATCACTGTGTATCAAGCACTGAGGAAGATCCAGAGCTGAAATTCAGATATTTTGACACACGCTGTAAGCGATAGACCAATCACTACAGACTGGGCCGTCTGACCAATCAGAGCAGAGTAGGCTCTCAGAAAGGAGGGGTTTAGAGACTGAATCTTCGAACGAACCGTTTCAGACACTGTGAGAAAAGAGGTAAATCTATTGTAGGAGACCTCCAAAACAAAATGAGGAGCCTTTAAAATAGAAAAATAGGGGCACTTTAATATACAAAGGTTCTAAACAACAGCACCAATCTTTATCTGCCACAAATTTCAAGATTGCGAACCACTAATATTCACTGAAAATGTTTGGGTATTTTAAGATTTCATAATCTTTTCCAGGCCTAAAAACACAAAAAAAAGTCCTTTAATATTGTTCAAACTGATTAATTGGTTGATATTTGGCATCTTGGAATCATTTCAGCTGATTAAACGGGAACTTGGCAACTATTTCAACTTAATAAAAGGGTTTAGAAATCATTTGTATGGTTACATACCCTGTTCCGGTGAAAATGGTGACTTTCCCCGCTCCCCCCGCCGGCGCTCCCAGGCGGAAAACCAAACTTTCAACATGGGAACTAACATCCCGGTAAATTGAAAATAGGAAGTCTCGTGAGAAGCGAGAACGAGCGAGAAACACGAACTGCTTTACGGCAATTCGACAAACACACACGCCCCACTCGATACCGGTTAGTATTTCCCACCTCGGTAGACATAGCTCCACACGATAAAGTTGGCCGGCTCCGATAATAACAAATGCACATGAGCAGCGGTAGAAAGCGGGAGGAAGGTGCCGCAAGTGAGTTTTATTACGACAGTGTTGTGAAATATACGCCGCACAGCTGTAGGGGGAGCTCGTTGAGAAAACATGTGACAACAAAAGTGAAAATCAGCGAAGAAATGGCTAGAGTTGCCAAGTTCCCCTTTAACAGAAGCGGTTATTTCCAAAATTTACAGACAACCGTGGCAATGGAAGAATCACATTTTCTACTTTCAAATATTTACATCCATTATAGACATTATGCTTGGATTTTGAGTAAACATTGAAAAAATAAAATAAGTGTTACATTATAGAAAAATTGTGTACGTCTCATTTGCGACTATTAAACTGTTAATTGCATCCATGAAAATTGCACGAAATATTGTTATGAGCGTCTGAAAACGGCATTCAACTTATGTGGCTTGTTTGTGTTTACCTCAGTGAGGGACTGCTGCGGCTGTTCTTCAGCCCCATATTGTTGCGAAGAGCGCTCTGGTTCTTGAGGGCCTCGTCCCAGACGCCCATCCCTCCTCCCGAGGGGCTTCCACCACCACCCACCTTTCCATCCAAAGACCCAGATGCTCCCCACAACGAAGAGGAATCACTCCACTGCAGAGAGAGACATTCATAAAGCTCTCATTTTGATGTTCAGGACTGCACACCTGTGATGTTTGTGTGTGTGTGTCGTACCCTCTGCTGTTGCTGGACTCTATGCTGCTGTTTGTGCATTCTCTCCGCCTCCGGCTGGATGTCCAGGAGGTTGTGGGGTTTGGTCTGCTTTCCCAGCCCAGGGATGGGTCCTCCGCTCCAGCCCGACCCGGAGCCCGAGGAGCCCTGACGCGGAGCCTGCTGGAGCAACTTCATCAGCAAATCCTGCTGCTGGGAAACACAGAAATAGCGATATGAAAAAAAAGAGAGAGTGTGTAATCCTCGCTACTCTGAGCAATGTCTGAACTTTGCATTTTGAGCACTTCTTGCGTTATTTTTGCCCCTTCACGATGACTCGCTTGGTTTAGTCCTCAGTTGGAAGTCGCTTTGGATAAAAGCGTCTGCTAAATGACTAAATGTAAATGATTCAAAACAAAATTAAATTTACAATACTGTTCAAAAATGTTTGTTTTTTTAAAAGAAGTCTCTTAGCTTTACTAGGACTTATCTTTACTTTACTAAAAGTTCAGCAAAAGCAGTAATAGTGTGAAATATTATTACAATAAAGATACAAAACGTTTTCTATTTGAATATATTTCAAAATTTAATTTATTCCTGTAAAATAAAGCTGAACTTTCAACATTACTCCAGTCTTCAGTGTCACATGATCCTTCAGAAATCACTCTAATATGATGATTGGATGCTCAAGAAACACTTCTGATTATTACCAATGTTGAAAACTGTTGTGCGGCTTAATATTTTTGTGTGAAAACCGTGATATATATATATTTTTAAAGGATTTTTTGATGAATAGAAAGCTCAAAAGAACAGCATTTATTTGAAATGTGTGCATGTATATATATATATATATTAGGGCTGTCAAATGATTAATCACGATTAATCACATCCAAAATAAAAGTTTTTTTTACATAATATATGTGGGTGCACTGTGTATAATTATTTTGTATATATATAAATACACACACATGCATGTGTATTTAAGAAAAAAATATTATTTATATATAAAATATTTATATTTATATATAATATAAATTATATATAAATCTATATACAGTATATACATGAAAATATTTCTTAAATATATACAAGCATGTGTGTGTATTTATATATATAAAATAATTATACACAGTGCACCCACATATATTATGTAAAAAAAACTTTTATTTTGGGTGTGATTAATCACTATTAATCATTTGACAGCCCTAATATATATATATATATATATATATATATATATATATATATATATATATATGTAGATATATATACACACACACATATATCAAATGTAAAAGTTTTTAATGCATCCTTGGTAAATAAAAGTATTAATTTCTTTAAAAATAACCAACTTCTCAAATTTTGAACGGTAATGTATTTGAGGTTATCTTAATAGGACACTATCACACCTGCTTGCGCCTATAAAGCTCCTCCTCCTCTCTCCTTTTCTGCTCTTCTCGCCTTTTGTCATCCCTCCGTTTCCTTTCCTCTTCCTCACGCTTGGCCCTGAGTAGTTCAGCTTCTCTTCTCTCTTGTAGCTGAGACACAACAGACCGCAGAGTTTTGAGTTCAGTGCATTTCCTCAGATCACCAGCAGAGGCCATCGGTGTTAACTCTTACCTTCTGAATCTGTTCTAGAATTGGACCCTGAGTTGAAGAATTCATTAAGTCCCATAGACTGGCCTCACCGCCTGCTCACAGAAAAGAGAGAGAGGGCGAAAGAATGTTGTTTATTTTCCAGATGCGAAAAAACAAAGGGTGATTCTTAAAGTGCCCCATTATGCTTTTTCACATATTACTTTCATGCAGTGTGTAAGACAGCTGTTTGTGAAATTAAAAGGTCTGCAACATTTTTAAGTGCATGACAAATAAAGTTATTGTCTCCTAAAATAAATATAATCGATTCAGAACTGCTGAAACGAGTCGTCAGTAACTCCAGTCTCACTTTCTGTTACAAACCTACGTAACAATGTGACACATTTGCATAATGCCAATCTATGGTGTTCATTGGCTGCCTGTGAACAGCGTCTACTTTGCCCCTGAAACACTGTAGTTGTTGCTGAGACTGGAAGAGTTTTGTTTGTGTTGTTCATGTTGAGAAGACGCTGTTTTCAGCGCTGAGAATCCACTTTGCTGCACTTGAAAAAAAGAAGAAAAAAAAAGGACGAAGACTCACGCGGGAATTTAAACGGAAAAACCGACACCATCGTTAATGTTCGTATCACTGTGTATCAAGTGCTGAGGAAGATCTGGAGCTGAAATTCAGATCAATCACAACAGACTGGACCATCTGACCAATCAGAGCAGAGTAGGCTCATGGAAAGGAGGGGTTTAGAGACTGAATATTCAAAACAACCGTTCTAAGACTCTTTAAGAAACGAGGTGATGTGCAACATATATTATGAGAAAATGTGTGTTTTTTTGACCTCGGATGCATGTAAACCTATTGTAGGAGACCTCGAAAACAAAAGTAGGAACCTTTAAAATAGCATAACAGGGGCACTTGTTATGTGTGTGTACCTGCTGGCTGTGAGGCTGAGGTATGCATGTCCCACATGGACCCTGTATCTGGCACTGACATCGACCTGTTTAACGAAGGCATCATACCCTGCTCTCCACACCTACACAGAAAAAAAAAGCAGTATTAAACATATGAAATGTACACAGTGGCACAGTAAAAAGACACAAAAACTCAATCACTCACCTGTTGATGAGCTGAAACAGTTGCTGCTGGTAAAGAGCCGTGGCAGCTGCTAATTCCTGCTGCTTCTTCAGCCGCTCCTGATCCATATTACCCTGAAACACACAGAAAGGTCAATAACACACATTAACCAATGATCAGATACATGCTTTTATTCATGAGAGAGACTCTAAGAGACATGCATGAACACATTTACACACACACAAGTTATCTGCCTGTTTAAGGAAATCATGTTAGACTTCAAGACTTTAAAAAGAATTCAAGACCAATATAAAACACCCTGCACATAAAAAAAAAATCACACACACACACATTTGCAAACTAGCTTATAACCACTAGACCTAAAATAAGAACTAATGAAGCAGAAAAACTTAACCCAGAATGCAAATAACCCCATGTAACACAACTCCCCGACATTCACCCCTCCACCCAGAGACTCACGATTGCCCCCCGGGGTGGTTGAGGGCGAAGATGGGCTTGATTCCTCACCAGGAGGGGCGGAGGGGAGGGGCCAGGGGCAAAAGGCACACGCCCCCACATCTTAATGACTTCCCCCAGCGGCTGAAATCCCTCATCACAACCACGTTTAACAAGCAGGTTCATGGCGAAATAGCCCGCCTGAAACCATTCACACATTTCCACTGTACTGAACGGACCTGAGAGAGACAGAACAGACGGTATTATAATCAAAGCACTGCTGCATATGCATGAGTTGACCTCCTGTGAGAGTGCGTGCGTACCCTGAATCTCTCCTTGCGGGTCTTTGTAAAACCATTTCATGGCAGAGTCATGGGAGAGAGGAAGAGCAGAGGCTGTGTTTCTGCTCTCCTGAAGAGTCTGGGTGAAACACTCTTCCTCTAGAGATGTATCCTGCAGCGCTGCCACCATCTTCTCTGCCTCCTACACACATAAACCTCCATCAAAAACTTTTTCGCTATAATGTAAGTGTGCTATAAACAATGTAATTTATCTAAATATGGGACATATTCTACACATTTTGTGCATTTGTCGATTTATAGTGTTAATCCAGGTTTCTATATTCATTTAGCTCTACATGCCTATTTTCTCTCTGACTAAGATTTAAACAGACAGTTTAACTATTGAACATTTAAGACCTCTGTATGCAAATAACCATGTTGTGAAATAGCCCTCTGCTATGTGAAATGGTTAAAGGTGCAGTATGTAATATTGACAGCTAGTGGTTGAAATAGGAACTGCAGTCCAAAATCAAAATACTGGAGAGAGTTGCTTCTCAACCATTCTCCTGACTCGAAACGACGCTCACACGGGTTGCCAGATTGAGGACACGCAACAGGAACGAGCACATTTAACAATAAAACCCGACGAGTCTTACACTACAAGCTGATCGGCTAATGTATACGTTTGCAATGTTTTTATTGCTAAGACTTTTTGGGTCGGGTAGAATCTGCGATCTCAGACCCAGGTTGTTTGTTGGATTTCATTGCTGTGTTTGCCGCCAACTGGCAACCGGGCGTGTCGAAATACTATTGGGTAAATTGGCAGGGGGCGGGATCACAGAGACCAAATTAAAAACAGACATTTCAAAGTAGAATAACTGGATTTAGCATTGCTTTACTTAGAAATAAGTATTTGAACTTAAATCTCTGCAAACATATTATGGTATTTGTATGCTTAATGACCAGTTTTAACCTTTTAAATGATCTGATCTGTTACTCTCAGAACTCATTTTCTGTGGTACCTGTTGCAGGTGCTTCATGCCCTCGTCATCCTCAATATCACCCCCCGGCGGTGGGAGGTCAGTAGCAGCAGAGGACGAAGAGGGAGGCGATGAAGGCAGACTGGAGGAGGCACTGGGGCTCAAATCTAACATGGCCTCTGATAACACTACAAAAAAGACAACACAAATTAAGTGTCATGCATTCATACAGCTGTAGGATAATCGATTTAAAGGCCGTGTTGCAGGTTAACCACCACTGTTGATTAATGGGTACATAAATCACTCAAGATACGTATATCATTTTTAAAATCTCTCAAAAATGGTCTTAAAGACCTTTTTTTAACGTCTTTGGTATTAACAGGTTTTTTTTTACGCAATTCGGTGATGACGTCACGTTGGGGAGAAGTGGAGGAAAGGTAGCCTCAGCCTAGTATTAACTCACTCCGCGACCAGATGTGACGTGCCTCACCATTGTCAATCTACCCACTATATATTTCTATCTATTCATCGATCTAGCTGCTAGCTATCTATGCTAACGTTATGCTATCTGGCTGTCTGCCTGCCTATCTATATGTCTATCTAGTCTATCTATATCTATGTATTTATCTATTTATCTATAATCTGCGCTATCAGAATACTCTCGTCTACTACTCGCTCTCAATTCTCTCCCCAAGGTGACGTAATGCAGTGCATTGTGGGGGAAAGGAGAATCGTTGGAAACCACTAGGGCTGTGTATCACCAACAATGTCACGATACGATACGCATCACGATACTAAAGCCACGATACGATACATATCACGATATGGATCAATTTGGAATTTAAATTTCTTTTGAGCTGAGTTTAGTAACAGTGTTATAACAGTTGTGATAACTGAAAAACAATTTAGTTTTTGTCATAAAAAAAAAACAATAAATAAATAAAAACAATAAATAAAAATGTTTAGAATGGCTCTTCCTTCTGCTTTTAAAGTCTGCCTCAATAACTGAAATGACAGTTATAGTGACACTGAAGCATGTCTACACTGCTCAATGACTAAACAAAACTTAAAACATTCCACAAAAGCAAAAACGGTAACAACTTAAATTTAACTTAGTTTTCTCAAACTCTTTTAAACACCTAGTATTTAACAATTGGGTCTTAATTGTTGAAATGTGCACCAAACAAAGTCATTTCTTCTATGTTGAAATCATTTTAAATGATTACATTTTCAGGCTAACACTAATTTATTACATATTCACAAGTACTGAATAGTTTAAAATCGTTTGAATTTTTAAACTGGTAAGACTTAAAGACGTGCAAATGGTAAACTTTAATGCTGGCCCGATTATGCAAGTGAATATTCCGTCATGTCCCGACACCTAAACGCGAACGTGTAGTTGCACCGGCTCCAGCGCTGGACGCTTGCTTTGAGCAGCCGTTATGAGAGACGAGAGAGAGAAGACGCAGCACCATTGAACTCACGCTGTTCGTGAAATTGTGTCTCACAGAACGTTTTAAAACTACTGATTTGATTTAATAATCTGTGTGGATTCATTTATTAATACAACCCTACATGCTAAAGTGAATCAATGTTTGTGGGAATTTCCCGCATTATAAGTGGGAGAGATTAAAATTATGCGCAATACCCGCGCCGAAATTCGAGCCCTGAATTGGCTACATTCAAAAGCACAACAGTATCGATACGGCAGCTGCTGTATCGATACGCGCATCGCCAGGAGTTCATGACGATATATCGTTGTATCGATATTCTGAGCACAGCCCTAGAAACCACTGTAAGATAGTACCTACTTTTTCGTATTATATTCCGTTTTGTGATACCCAACAACATAAAATACAATGGATAACAGATTAAATGTTTATTACCAACAAGCAAATTGCACAAATTCGTTGAAAAATTAACCCTGCAACACGGCCTTTAAAAAAGGGCAAAAAAAAAAAAAAAAAAAAGTGTAATTTTTACCTTCACTTGGTAATTTGTTGGGAATGGAGGGGACAGGCTGAGGCTCCTCCAGGCCAGAGGGGGCAGCAGAGGGCAAAGCCTCAGGGACAGGAGCAGGAAGAGAGGGAGGGAGAGAAGGAGGAGGGGAAGGAGAAACCGCTTTCACTTCAGTTTCAGACACTGGAGCGAAGTCAATGACATCTGTGGAAACCAAGATAGATATACTTATTTAAAATCATGAATTAATCTCAGACAACTTCAGAGGTAAAAATTCAGTCTGTTCCTCACACAGAGCAATGATTTTCATTTTTGCAACAACTGTGCTTCAAGCGTTTATCCCCCCCGCCATTTCTGTTCCCACCTTTCTCGCTTTTTACAGCACCAGTGCCGTTGTTCTTCTCTAGATTAGCACAGTCCTCTTCCTCATCCTCCAAGCCCTGGAACTCAAACTCCTCTTCTAGGATGGGGTCTTTCGGACCCTTCTAAGACAACAGAAGAGCAGAAAAATGTAAAGAAAAGAAAACCATAGATCAGAAGTCAAGTCAAGTTTTATTTATAGAGCACAAGTTTAACACAACCTTAGTTTATCCAAAGTGCTTTACAATACAATACAATAAATAAATAACAATAAAATAAAGAGAAAAGGAGTAGAGAAAAAAAACAGAAATGGAGATAAAAATCAAGTATCAAAATCATTCAATGTATATACACATACATAGATAACGTATACCAATTCATTTAAAACACATACACAGCATCACTCGAACGCAAGAGAGTCAAAATTGGTCTTTGAACTGTCATTAGAGACAAGACCTTAAGGTCTCACCTTAATACACATAAACGCTCCAGAAGAATCAAAGGTTCCCATTTCTCCATCTTCCTCATCAGTGCACCACTCTGGCAGACCGTCTCGCTCATCTTCTGCTCCATCGCTGCCGGTTCTCCTTCTGCCTCCCTCATTCCCTCCGTCCCGGAAGTCGAAGTCGAACTTCCTCTGGCGAAGTGGTTCACCTGGACCAGTGTGTTCCCGCCAACCAGCCGAGCGAGGGCCACCATCTAGGAAACAGAAGCACAGGTGTATACAAGTTTTGAGTCTGTACAATTATTTGTGTTTTTTGAAAAGTATTATTCTCATTCTGAAGCGAGTTTGTAGTAAAAATATCCTGTTGTTCTCATAAACTGTCGTACTTTTTGTCGACGCTGTGCTAAGCTAAAAGCGGTTAGCATTTTAGCATCAGTTTTGTTTATCAGTATCAGGTGGCAAATAAGTGTAATAGTTCCTTTTGTATGCAATGGTGTGATTCATCACATTTATTTATTTTTTAAAAATTTCTTTAGATATCGCAATTTCTTTTAGAAACAAACTTTGTTATATTGTTTTCATGTTATCACTGTGAAGCGCTTTGATACAATCTGTATTGTAAAAAGCGCTATATAAATAAAGGTGACTTGACTTGACTTGAAAAACCTGATATTGTGACATCCCTAATTGTGAAATATTATTACAATTTAAAATAAGTTTTTCCTTTTATTGTCACTTTTGATTAATTTAATGCATCCTTGCTTAATAAAAGCATTAATTTCCTTTTTCTTTTTTTTTATTCTTTTGAACAAGTGGTGTGTGTATAACATTACACAAGCTCTGTTTACACATGATGCGTCTAAGGTGATCCACTAAAAAGTGGTCAGCCAAGACCTAGGGTGTGTCTCAATCCACTCCCTAGTTCAATAGTCAGGGCACTGATCAGAGAGACGGCCGTACTAAAGGCCGTCTCAATCTCAAAATCCTTCCAGTGCATTAAAAAGTCCCACAATGCACCGTGAAAACCAGGGAGCATCGATGCTCACGTTGTTCCCTTAACAGAAGTTCTAAAGCACGAAACAGATGTTAGATGTTTTTAAAAAAAAAACGTTTAGTCATATTTATTATTATGAATTATATTTATATTTAATTATAATTATATTTCAGCATAAACATACATCACTAGACAAGTACTTAATCTAGATGCATTTATAATTAATTTACAGCTAAAAGGTTGCAGGTATATGTAAGAATCAAAGTATTTATCATAATGTACTTTAAATAACATTATTAATATAAATGTCATAAAAATATCAGTTCTGCTGTTGTTCATAAATACGTTGTCATGTTACTATCAGTGTTCCAATGTGTAGTGAGCAAAGGTCCTTACCAGAGCCCGAATTCATGTGCACGATATACTGATTCACGACCCAGGAAGCTGATTGAGACACACCTCAAATTTTAACTAGGGGTTTTCCCAATGTAAAATAAAGTTAGTAAATAATTAGTAAAAAATAATCTTTATGGTGAACCGTTTCCTTTTGATGCCAAGTGTAAATGTGTGTTGTGTAATGCGTTACCTTCTCTTCGTACGCCAGTGATTCTCCAGCTGCCGCCAGCCTCCGCCGCTTCCTCCTCCTCCTGCTCCTCTCTCAGCGTGCGCCAGTTGTCGCTATCAGAGCGCATGAACTCCTTTCTGCCAACTGGAGCCGCTTCCTCGAAACCCAAACGCACAACGTCCCTCCGCAGAGGTTTCTCAAAACGCCGCTCACTTCTGCAGAAAGAAAAGAGAGAGAGCGCTTATCAAGATGGCTTATGATTTGCTTCAGTAGGCCTCTTAATCTAGATTGTGTGCGGATAAAATTAAAAGGATTTTCATATTTATCGAGATGAGAGCTAAATAAACAAACTGAGATCACAATAACGGGAATACTACAAAAAAAATATAAAAAAATAAAAAATTGGTTTTAAAATGACTTAAATGATAGGGAAAGTAAATCATTTATAATAAATGTAAAAAAAATATATATAATAAAATAAAAAATAAAAATACAATAATTTAAAAACAACAAAACACAACACAAAAATGGTAGGGAAATTAAATAATTTATAATAATGTAAAAAAATAATAATTTAATATAAAAATGTAAAAAATTGGTTTTAAAATGACTATCATAAATGATTTCCTTTCCCTATCATTTTTAATGTAAACAAATATATATAAAAAATAACAAAAACAACAAAAAAAAGGGTAGGGAAATTAAATGTAATGTAAAAATTATTAAAAAAAAATATATATATATATATATATATATATATATATATATATATATATATATATATATATATATATATATATATATATATATATAAATTATTTGATTTTTTTATTATTATTTTTTATAAAAAAAAAAATTTATATATATATATATATATATATATATATATATATATATATATATGTTGTTGTTGTTAAAAAGAAAAATTAAAAAATAATCAAATAATTATTTTTAAACAAAACAACACAACAATGAGAATACCTGTCATCCCAGCTCTGGCTGCGATGGATCTCTCGAACGCTACGACCAAAACCGCCCTCAACTTCCTCAACGCTTCTTTGGTAGAATCCGCCCTCTCCTCTTCCTCGACCTAAACACACGACATAAACTTCAGCATCTCCGCCAATACACGAATGATTTACACACACGTACACATAAATAGATCAGCTTGCCTCGACCACCTCGCACAGTGCCTCTACCTCGAGTCACCCCAGCTGGGGCGGCTCCGCCCCCTTTACCCATAAGCCTCAGTACAGCCACACTGTTGACAGACATGGAGAAATTCCTCTGCAAAGAAAAAATACACAAGGAATGAAACCAGGACCTCACCAAAAACAACAAGATCGGTGTATAAAAAAAAAAAATCACTGTAGTGCCAAAGGAGTTTTTATATATACAATATATATATATATATATACACAGTGAAACCAAAAAAATTCAGACGACTTGCAAATATATATATATATCAGAGTTTCCGCTAGAAAAAAATGGTGCCGGTCAAAGTGACCGGCAGAGGTTTCGTTTAACGGACATTTTGATGATATGCCAGTCAAATATCGCCTCTTAATTAGTCAAGTTGAGGAAAACTGGAGGCAGGCTACGTAACTTAAGAAATGACATAATCAGGCCGTATAGAATGCAACATGTTATTATTAGCCTAACTTTCAAATAGACGGAAAAAAACATGAACGTCCGATTGGCGTCAATCAACACCAATTGTTTTTTTACTATGGTTTCACACATACATTCGCTTTTTGAAACATTGAGGCACAGATGTACCCAATACAAATAAATAAAACATCTCCAGTTAACTAGCAGATCATTCATTTAGTTCGCTATTAAATAAGAGATCTAGCGCTAAAATCAGTTGTTTTTTAAATCAAGCTCAGTGCTCGTGTCCGCTGCTATCAGCTGCATGGACGAAGCGCTGCACGAATTGCGCTATCTTCACTCGGACACGCGCTTCAATCTATCGCCGTTGCGGAGACTCTACACAGGTGAGATGTTTGATGTTGTGATGTTCCTAGTTCTGTGTACTGTGTACCTTGTTCTGAGTTTACCCTGGATTAAGTGCTTGCGATTGGATTCACTCTCTGCTTCGTCCTTGCCGCATCGTAACAATTATATTGTCCACTATATTTGCTTCTTATTTATTCATCCAGGCAAATTTGTTGATGAAACATTGATTAAAATGAAGATACAATTTATACAAAACGAAATAAACTTTAAAGAAAGGCTTTCTACAAAACAAAACTAAATAAGTGGTCAAAATCTGACCAATTCCAAATGTTTTCCGATATATTGGTCATCTTATGATCCTATCTTACTCATCTCATGCGGTTCCCTTTTCATATAGCCTAATCAACATGGATGAATTAAAAAAATAATAACATTATATTATTTATAAATATGAAACGTATATTTAAGTTTTTAACTTATAATAAGCGTCACACCGCTCCGCTTTGCTCACATGCTCTGGTGTGTAGCCATGTGTGCGTGCATGTGGTGGAGATGGGTGCGATTTTCGAATAATAATCAACCCAGCGATCTTCGAATATTATTTTTGCTTGAAAATTTCGTTTTGTATAAATTGTATATTAATCTTAATCAATGTTTCATCAACAAATTTGCCTGGATCAGTAAATAAGAAGCAAATATAGTGGACAATATAATCAGGACGGAGTCGCCGGCACGTGCACACTTCTCTCTAGAGGCACGTTAACTACTGCGAAGATGGCGAGTCTGCATCGTCAACTTTATCAATTTATCAACTTTATCAATAATTCAAATGTTTCATGCATAATCATTACTTTCACCGGTTATTTGTGGCAAGCTTTATTTCCGGTGTTGCGTGATATCTCTGCGCCCAAGTAGCAGTGCTTCGCCTGTGCTTCCAAACATGCATTTGCCCACCTATCTAAATGTAGGGGAGACCGTGAATAACCCCAATTTAAAATTAAAAAAAACGGTGGAGTGTTCCTTTAAGGCTAGCCTGCCTGGGCCTAGCCATATTTGAAACGTCTCACTCAATCGTTCGTTGTTTAGGTCTATATTACAGCCGTTCTAGGCGTGCGCTTTATTTGAAATGCAGCATGCGATGTTGTTTAATAACTTTCAAACGGTAGAGGCTGTTCCTTTATAACATATTTAACAGATTTATAACAGATTATTACGCAATTTTAATCGGACAATTTGACCGGAGAGATTTAATTTTGTCGGACATTTCATTTTTTTCCCGGCCAATGTCCGGTAATAACCGGACAACTGAAACCCTGATATATATATATATATGTGTGTGTGTGTGTGTGTGTGTTTACAACTTCTGAAAAATGTGTCAAATTATTCAGACACCTTGCTATCCTCACTTAAATAAATTAACTATAGTGTCCTGCAACCACTAGTAAAAAAATATAAAAAATTATATATATATATATATATATATATATATGTGTGTGTGTGTGTGTTTACAACTTCTGAAACATGTGTCCGCCCCACCTCGGATTACTTTCACAGGATAGTGTGTGAGATGCATGTCTAATGAGCCCGAAGCTCAAGACGCCAGACATGTAAGTGTGCACTTCTCACCTGCTCCTCTTCAGTGAGAGCCAACAGTGCCAGTGGCTGTTGAGGCTCATCCTGCAGAATAGTAGCAAACTCCTTATCCTGCATTTCTTCAGGGACCTGAAAACACACACACACACGACTAATGACTCAATCTACTGTTGCAAATGACTGACTGAAAATATCAGTAAATTCACACTTGCTGGACAGAGAAACATGAAAGGTTTGGACTGTGATTATCGGAGTCAGGTTTAACCCTTCTCAAAAATTTGGTACAGCACATTTTGAGGAAATTCTCTTAAAAGGGCATCGAGGGAACACCACACTGAATCAATGCACAAAAGGGCCTTTCCCTTAAGGCTGCTTGAGAAGTGTACATTACATTGCTGTTCAAACATTTGGGGTGGGTATGTTTTTGAAAGAATTTTCTGATGGTCACCAGGGCTGCATTTTCAAAAAATAGAGTAAAAACAATAATATTGTGAATATTATTACATCTTAAAAGAACCGTTTACTATTTTAATAATTTCATTTTAAATTTAAAAATGTAATTTTTTCCTGTGATGCAAAGCTGAATCACATGATCCTTCAAAGATCATTCTGATATGCTGATTTGATGCTTATTGTGCTGATAAATATTTTTTTGTGGAATCCATGACACTTTTCTTAGAATTAATTTATGAACTTAAAAGTTCAAAAGAACAGCATTTTTTTTTAAATGGAAATCTTTTGTAACATTATGATTAGTGTTGCAAAATCAACCTACAATTGCATCTAACATAAAAGTTTGCAAATGTGTATTAATTTTTGTTATTTCCGTCCTAAGGACGTCCTGACCATTAAGTTTGCACGAAGGTAACATGGCTATGAACTAGTCAACTTTTAGATGTAACAATTAAATCAATTTGCCTAAAAAAAAAAAAAAAAAAAAAAAATCGATAATACATTTAATCGCTAAAACTGCTCAACCGCGAAACATGTAAAGCGAGCATGTATGTTTCGGACCATTTTACACCATCATGGCTTTAAGTTTGCGTGTGCATTCACAGCCTTTTGTTTTGTGCAAATGTAAGTTGTAATATTGTGTTTATTTTGTGTCTTTATCTGATTTATCTCATATAGGATGCATTTGGTTACAGATGAACAGCTCAAATGGCAATTCACGACTAATAATGACTATGATTGGGACTGTCATATTACATGACATTATAAAGAGAACAATATTGTAATAAAACATTGTGAATTATTTGGGTTTAGTTGCCGTTTCATCGCGTTGACGAGTCGTTCTGAATGGCACGTAACTTAGTTCAAGTTCACTTGTGCATTCGCGTCATTTTGTGCAGAAATAATTTGTAATATGTTTATTTTGTATATATCTGATTAATCTCATATAGCACGCATCTGAGGCGGTGTTGGTGACACGTTGTATTAGTCGTTATATTTGATTATTAAATAAGTAATTTAATTAAATGATCAATCACATCGAAACATTTTACAATCCTACTAGCCCTTTATTTAGATTAAAAACCCTCTCATTCATTTGGTGGGGAACATAGCGTTCGGACGGAGCAGCATTTGCACACCCTGTCCTGCTGTTGGCTAACGATTAATCGATTGTTAATTTAAACGATGATCAATTATCATGGGAATTTGTGCAAATTGACATCCCCAATACTGGTCCTACATAGAGACTTGAGTGGCTGGATTTCTTAAACACATTCAAAAGTATTTACATCAAATAAATATGCTTGGTCAGTGCACACTGAATATTTCTTCTGCAACAAGATAAACTATGGTAAATTATTATCTTAATTCTCTACAGTCTATTTTTGTTGCAACAGAGCTCTGGCACTGCCGTTGCCCATGAAAACCTTTATGACTTGTGTAAGTACTGGAAGACATTTTTTGCATTTTCGAAGTCGACCAGTGCAAACATGTACTTGACACACTGTGTGTTAAACCTCAGGCCATGTGAACTGCACTAAAGACGTCCATTAAGAGACAGTAAGAACAGGTTAGAGAAGTTCACTGTTCAACAGCATACAAAAAACAGTACAGAGTGACTAAAAAAAAAAAAGTCTACAAAGGGGTTTTCCTACATTTAAAATACTTCAATTCCAATTTTTGCAGTATTGTAGCCAATCACAGACATCTGTGGGACGTGCGAACACAACGGCCAATCAGATGTGTTTAAATTAGTCAGAATCGACTCAACAGTTCTCAAAACGACAGACGTTTTTGTTCAGCACACTCACGAATCCTTTCGTTATAACCAAGCCCTAAAATTAACACCAAATGCGAGTAATGATTGGCATTGCGGAGTATATGAAACGGTCAATAACATTTATACGAATTCTAACAATACAATGTTGTAAGAACATGAATGTGAACAAAGATGAATGACGCTCTGAAAAGGTGATGTGCTGCATCGCCACGAAAGTTTAAACCTTGCCAATTTAAATATTCAATATTTAATAAGTTTTGTGTGCTACGCATCCGAAGCGCACGCCTAGTAAGCCAGACAGCGCACAAATACTGAATTGAACTCTCATTCACGTCGTACTGTGCTTGAACGGACAAATTCACATAAAATTGTGTCAAAAAATGCCCGTCTCGGCAAGTATACTAGTAAACAGTCAGTTGCGCCTTACGTGAATGCAAACAGTAGAGAAAGACACGTGTGTAGGTCTTAAAGTGACATCAGCCTAATATCTCTGTTGCTGTCTGTGTTTTAATGTTAATCAAACCAAGGACAAAGAAAAAACACTTTACTTATTCTTTACTTTAATCAATGACTATTATTTGATTAAAAAAGTTAGTAATATAATTAACAACAGTCACTCAGTGAGTTTTTACACTTTTTTTTACACAATTTACAGATTTTTAAATATAAAACATTTAGTTAAGCACTTTGCTTTGTGATCTGTCCTGACAGTGATTATTTTTGTTTCATGAATAAAAAGGATAAGTTAATATTACAAACTCTCGCAGTTCACATGGGTGGGGTTACCATGTTCATGACTGTGTTCATCCGCCGCCACCGAAGACCATTTTTGACCCAGGAAATACCTTGCTAAATATTTAATAATGTCACTCTTATGGTGCATTATCATATCAAGCCAATGAAATCTACCAACATAAAGACTGTTTGTCCGAAAATTGTGTGATCAACTTATTCTGAATTCACTCAAATTACTTTATTACTTTTTTTTTTTCAGTTATTTTGCAAAATGTCCAGGCTGCTCTTTTCCATTCAATGGAAGCGAAGAGACCAGGGTCCGTCAAACTCCATAAAAGGCAATAATTCAGCAGGATACCATAAAAGTAGCCCATTAAAGTTGTAGTCACACTGCCAAATTAGAATCCATTGTGAAAACATTCACACACACACTAAATTTTAGATTTTCATGGATTACTAATGAAATGACTGGATTTTGCCTGCGAAAATTCACAGAACAACAGCAAATGTGACCATACCTTGTGAGTTACATTCTAAATCAAAAAGTTGTGTGAAGAACAGACCTCAAATTTAACTAATTATTGACTAAAAATCTTTACTTCCATACTTGCAATGGTCACAGTCTACTTTCACTGTGTGGAAGAGAACACAAAGACATTTGGCTGGATAAATCCTAATCGAGTTCCACAGAACAAAAAAAAATAAAACATTTGATCATCATTTGAACTTGTTTTATAAAAAGTTTTGGTATAAACTGACAAGGTTGTTAGTTGATTTAAATCGGTCAAGTACACATGAATAACAACCAGTGATGATAACCTTAAAATATCAATTCATGAGCTGCTGAAACTATTTTTGTGTGTTAAAAAAAAACAACCTCACTATGATATTCAGACTTGTCATGTCATGACGTAAAGATACAAGCACAATCATTGGCACACTGAATGCTGGGATATCACCTAGGGTTAAAACTATGCTAACAAGATTTGTTTCAAGCATTTTCCCACCTTGTTTTCTTTGACATAAAGTGCTAGCATCTCCTCTCGGCCGTAACGGTACTCGGCCAACTTGTACTTTGGCATAGCAGGAGAGGCAGGAGGGGAAGACACACTGCCTCCACTGGAAAGTGCTCGAAGCCTGAGAACGAGAGAGATACAAATCAGATCAAAGGGGATTCAACAGCAACAATCTGGAGGCTTCATTGAGAAATGCTCCAGTCCTGGCTATCGTCCAAAGGACGGCCCAACGACTCAATGTCCCGATTTATTTAGGATCTCTCACACCCATTTTCAACTGATATGGTGCTGATGCAGTGGAAACTGGTCAGTGTTTTCACTTTTAACAGGCAAACTATGACAAGTGACACAGTGTTGAGTTGAGATATTTAAAAAAACAAACTAATATGATTCAGAATCTTTTGGTGAAAAAACACCAAACAAACTCTACCAATCAAAAACTTTGGGTCAGTAAGATTTGAAAGAAACGAATACTTCTATTTAGCAGGAACGCATTCAGTCGATCAAAAGTGGCATTCAAATATTTCAAACTTTCCATTCATCAAAGTACCCTGACAATTTTCTATCCTATTTTCCACAAAAACAAAGTAGCACATTTGTTTTAAACATTGATAATAAGTTTCTTGAGCAGCAAATCATCATATCAGAATGATTTCTGAAGGATCATGTGACACTGAACACTGGAGTAATGATGCTGAAAATACAGCTTTGCATCACAGGAATACATTACTTTTTAAAATATATTAAAGCAGAAAACAGATAAATTAAATTGTAAAATTATTTCATGATGATATTTAGGGCTGGACCCGAATATTCGAATATTCGTTCGGTGTGTTGGTATTCGATTTGAAAATGTAACATTCGAATATTTTTTTTTGCACACCTGGCACCCCCCTTGAAACGGTTCTCATTCGCGCTTGAATATGTTTTACACTATAGAAACATGGTGAAATATAATACTTAACATATAACTTCGTTATAGCTACTTAATAAATATATTTGCTTCTTCTTGGACTACTAAAAGTGTTCCTGCAACGGGAGTACTCTCTGGCTAGAGCAGAACAGCGGAGTTTGTATCATGGACAGAAGAGCATGCCTGAGCTGGTGTTTTGGGTTAAGCAGCGTTGCTTTGATATTGTGGAAAATAGAATAATAGAACAAAATGTATTATCCTTTTTACCCGTTATTATCAATCTAAATTAATCTACTGCGAAATATAAGTTGAAATTTGTGATATTGTTATTGAAATTGCTATTGTTATTGCTACCGTGTTCTTTATTTAGGCTATTACAGTTCATTCATTTATTTTTAGTTTTTCTTTATTTAAATTTCGTTTTTAATTATTTAAATTTCGTTTTTATTTATTTAAATCTACCCTACTTTGTCAGTGAGAAAAATATTATAAGACTATACCTTATTAAAAAGATTGCTTAAGTTAAAAGACCTGTGTGTGTGTGGTGTGTGTGTTATATCACTAGCGCAGTGTCCGTTCTCCGAGCATATAAGCCCTGCTCGCGTGAGGCGCGCCGCTTATTTAAATCTACCCTACTTTGTCAGTAATTTGTTACTGAGAAAAGCAATATTTTTAATACGGTAGTCTAATATTTTTCTCACTTACAAATTACTGACAAAGTAGGGTAGATTTAAATAAAGAAGCGGCGCGCCTCACGCAAGCAGGGCTTATACGCTCCGAGAACGGACACTGCACGCACTAGTGATATAAACACACAGGTCTGTTAACTTAAGCAATATTTTTAATACGGTAGTCTAATATTTAAGTTAACAGACCTGTGTGTGTGTTTTATATCACTAGTGCAGTGTCCGTTCTCGGAGTATAAGCTCTGCTCGCGCGTCCCGCTTGCGCTGTTCTGTAGTTTATTAAAAGTTGATTAATTCTGAACGTGTCACGTCTCGCCTGTCTATCTATATTGCACCAAATACGGCACTGCACTCCTTGTGAAGTCGTTTGGATGAACGGTTCTCGAAATAATCAAAATGCAAATGGACAGACAGACATATAGAGATTCCGAAGCTTCGAATATTCGATGTTCATTACTACCGAAGCTTCGAAGCTCAAAAAATGGTATTCGGACCAGCCCTAATGATATTACAATTTTTGCTGGGGGGGAAAATGCAGCCTCGGTAAGCCCAAGAAATAATACTAAAATCTTACAGACACCAAACTTTTGAACTATAGTGTCTATTTTGTAGTATTTAATTTGAGAAAAACAGGAAAATCAAGTGGCTGAACTGCTCCGTGTCAGATATTGTTTATAGGAAGAGTATAAACAGCTCTGTTGATTATAATGGGAGAGATCTGGTTTTGTTGTGTGTCAGTCTCACCAGAGTTGTTGTTTTGACAACTTTACTCAGTGCTGGCATTATCCCGCCTCGTTCCTGATTTAAACCCAGTAGCTTTTAGAGGCCAGTGCAAAGTTGTTTTTCCTGCCTGAAACCACTTCTCAGCGGTGGACGGGAAACATGTGAAACGGCACCGGCTGAGGCACCTTGTCGGTGGAAAAGGGGTTGCAGGGCGGTCGGTGGCTTTGTAAACTTTACATAAACACTACCCTGCCGAGATAAGCTGATGAAGAAGGCTTTGAGGCAACATACCACCCCTGCATTGTACATGTCAAATCCAGGAATTCACTTTTGTTGGCCGAGGACCAACTATGCACAGAAGAGCCTTAGTTCAGCAGAGAACCACGCCTAACGGTTTAATTTCTGCATAATCATTTAGTGTGTGCCAAGAGGAGATACAGGGAGAGAAGGGGGTTGGGAAACAGGGAATGACCAGAGAGAGAGAGAGAGAGAGAGAGAGAGAGAGAGAGAGAGAGAGGAGAGAGAGAGAGAGAGAGAGAGAGAGAGAGAGAGAGAGAGAGAGAGATGAGAGAGAGAGAGAGAGAGAGAGAGAGATGAGAGAGAGAGAGAGAGAGAGAGGAGATGACGAGAAGAGAGAGAGAGAGAGAGAGGAGAGAGAGAAATGCTGGGGAAGATGGTTATG